ATTGCTCTGAAAGAAAGTATATTCGCAGGAAGTTTCTTTGCAACATCTTGTAATGGAAAATCACATAGTCCTTGTGCATGCTTTGGAGTCAGTTCCTAATATTGTTCTGACTCTGTTAGAAATGTAGCCTTGAGAATAATGGTGGTCTCTGATGGAAAGAAAAAAATAATAAACTCAGCCACAAAATAAAAGGAATTCTAAGACAAAACTAAATCCTTCCTCTCCTTTATTTGTACTATCCCCAGGTGAATTAATGAGGATATTGAGCCAAGTAAGTTGTACCTCCCCCCTTGAAGTGCTCAAAAGAGAGGAACACTTTAGATTGTCCTTCAGATGAAGACAAGCAGGAGGAAGATTCTGAATTGCAGTGGAAAAAAATCATTAAAAAATAATTCCCCTCAGATCATCAGAAAGCAGATAAAAATCCTCTGAATATGAATATGAATTTTCCAATAGGGCTGGGCATACAGACCTGCAAATCTAAACAGGTTGTGTCCTTCTTAGAAGTAATTTTACCATTTTCTGAGAGTGTTTATTACTCAGAATAATATGCCAGTGGAAGTGTATGACCCACTGCTGCAAATCAATGCAAAGATATGACCTTTACTGTCAAGTTTCCCTTAATGATGCCTCCTCACCTCAGCCTGACCTTTCACTATGTTCAACCCACAGAGGGCAGTGATGTGCAATTAATAATAACTTTTCAGAGCCTTAAATGAAAACACCATCTGTTTTAGGCAGTCTTAATGTGTATTTTTGAGAAGTGACAATTTTTTTACTTGATCTGGAAATAACATTGAACTCTTGGAATTTCCCAGGCTGAGTTTAGGGAATTAAAAAGTACAGAATTACAAAATAGATTGTAAAAATTATGTCCTGGGAAAATTTCTGGAGCTTTTTTGTAGTAGTATTGCCTGGTAATAGTCTGCACTAATAAATAGTAAACCATATACTGGGAAGCAATAGATCTAAAGTAGAAACACTCATGCAAATCTAGGATGTGTTCTATTGTGTCCTGTGGTCTAGTCATCCTGTAAAACTTATAGTATGACCAGCAAAAACTTCTCTTTAACCATTTCTGTCTGCATAAAACTTACATGCCACTAAACCCTTGAGGAGTAGCAGGAAAAGGAGATTTCTGCCCTGACCAGCAGACAGTAGAAACAACCCACAGATCTGAGCCACTTTTTATCGGCCTGTTGGACCACAGAGGCTTTTTTCACCAACCAGCCCAGGCTGAAGAGAAATCTACACTCAATATGAGTAGGTCTCAGCAAAAGAATAACCTCTTAAAAGCAGAAAAAAGATGACATTTTGACCTCCAGCTTTCACTGAGCTCAGCTCAGCTCCACTGAGCATATTTCTGCTTGTCATATATCTCTTTTACACTTCTCTCCTCTACATTAATATATGTGTTCAAGAGTGAAAGACATTGAAGGATTCATGGATGCAATGGGCAGGTCCAAGCACAGAATTATTTTTCTCTCCACCTCAGGCCATATTTGTGTTTGTTTTAGAAGCAAACACATTCCAAAGATATGAAAGAAATGCCAAAGCACAAGACAGATTAAAAAGCTGGAGAATGCAGAAAACAAAACAATAATTCATGAAACGGAATCTGCAAAGCTGCAAAGAGATGATCCTCTCATGCCAAGCATGTATCCAGAAGGGTATGGCTTACAGCCCTGGGCCAAGCCAGCTTCACGCCCTGGGCCTGGGGAGAGGAGGAAAGCCAAGTTTACTGCTTGTCTCTTCCTTTCCCACCTCCCTTGGATGTTTGATGCAGACAATGTGCAGGGCTTATGACTTTGAAGGGTCTTTGCACTCTGCATTGGAACAGCCTTCATACAGTTATGCAGGGGGTGAGGATGCTTTTCATTCTGGTGTGTAGAGCTGTAGCTGAGCAAGTGAAAATTCAGCCTATCATGCTTCATGAAGTTCTTCTGTGGTGTAGGAACTCCTTTTGTATGTGGAACCCAGACAAGAAGAGAGATGTCTCTTCTGCATCTTATTTGTGTACTCATATTCAGTAACTTGTGAAGTGCAAGGAGACTGCCATAAAGTTTCCAGCTGGAAAAATTCTTCTTAACAAAAAATATTTCTGTGTCTCACTGTATAAAAAATGCCCCAGTGCCTATAATTGCATATGTTATGGCTATGATACGATATACAAATTGATTGCTACAACCTTTTTATGTGGTTATTTCTAAAGAAATATGTGATCCCTATCACTTGTTACTTGTAGCATCCTTTACTCAAAAATCAATGTGATAAATGCAATGTTAGGCTGAACAGAATGTCATGTAATTAAATATAATGTGAAATCAATCAAAATCTAGCTAGCGGCAGACATGAGGCTCATAAAACCTCCAGATTTTATATAAATACTTATCTCTGTGTATTTTAAAAATATCCAGATATCTCCATACATTCAATCCTAAATACATCTAATTTTGTAATAAATTTTGGGCTTAATGGTCATATAGAAATAAGTTTTCAATTTTCCATAATGCTCAAATGCATGAATATAAGGCAAGTGTCTTATGATTCACCATTGTTTTAATGTACTTAATTTTAAGTTTCCTAAATTCACCAGTAATACACAGCACTGAGATACTTTTTTAAAATTAATCAGTGATTTAGTATGAAAAATAATAATGAAAATTATTTGTATTCCAAACAGTTGTCAAGGGCAGACAGAAGAGGATCCATATATACGAAATTAATAAAATGTTTAAAAGTGCATCTTTTCTAAGGTTTGGGGTTGTATTCTATGTTGGAGAATACAACAGGCCAAATGTAAGTCATCATAACAATCCATTTTATTCGTGTCATGAATAGGTGAAAGGTGTTTGCAGACTAAGCAAACTACCCCAATAATAAGAAATACTCTCCTGGAGGCTGTTCAAAAATATCAGAATCAAAGGAATAGATATCACTGAGCAATTAAAATAAGTTATTTATGGACATAAATGATAGGAGTAAGTTTAAAATAGATTTGCCACTCAGTTTTACCATGTTTGAAATCAGCTACAATTACTGTATCTACCCTTTTTGAGCTCAGTGTTAATATAGAGCCCTCTAAGCTGTGTTTCTATACTGAAATGTACCTAAAAGTTTTACAAAAGGTCTTACTCTCATGTTGATTCCTGTCCCCCTTTTTTTTGCACTGATTATAGGCCCAAAAGGGGCTTCTTCACTGGGAGGGTGGTCAGTTCTTCACCCCAGGGAGGTGGTGACAGCAAGAAGTATGTTGGAGTTCAAGGAGCATCTGGATGATGATCTTGGTCATGGTTTAGTTTTAAGTACTTCTGCAAGAAGCAAGGAGTTGGATTTGAAAATGATCATGGGTCCCCTTCAACTTGAGATGATCTATGACTCTGCTATGACTCTGTTAGAGGAATGGACTGCTGATGTGATGGCACATAGAGTTAGGAGTTTTACTGGGAGAAACTCATTAAGAACATCATTACCAATTGTCATCAACTCCAGAATTAGTGGTGCAAAACACTACTAAGGTCCTGTTATATTATTTTCACTTTAATGGACTGTGTCATTGACTTTAAACAAATGAGACCTAACTGATGAAGCAATGCCTAAACTTGCATCTGTAAGTGCTTGTGTGCTCAGATATTATGACTTAGAAAAGGCTGCTATCACCACTGGTCCAACATTGTTAGTTATGTGCAGATACAGAGTTATTCAGCTGGATATCTAAGACTTTACATGAAGTTATGGAAATTCATCCCTGTTTTTTTCTTTCCTGCTTAGCATTTTAAAGTAAAGTTGCCATCATTTTCAAAAGTTCCTCTACTGTTCATTATGATTTTCCAGAACACCATTGCCAAGCCACACTTCAAATGTCTCTATGCTTTGTTAGGTCTGAGGACCTTCTTCTAAAAGATATCAACAATTCTGTGAGTTCTCTGATTCACAAACTAATGTAATATTTGTGTGCATGCTTGCCTGCACTTTCTTATTCAGAATACAATAGCTAAAGCACCAAGATTAATTTTCTCATCATAAATATGCATAAGACATTAACATAAATCTGATCTAACAGGTTCACCATGGATAAAGAAATGTAATTAATTTTCTTCCCTGTCTATTTTACTGCTGTCTCTATTTTCCTTAGATTTTGCTTGTTCATGTACTACAGTCTCAGAACCTTTGTTATGCATTATATTTAGCTGCTTGATGAATCTCACAGTGTTTTTCTTAACCCCAGCTGGAGTACTAATGGCTTTTGCTAAGAAAAGAGTAGAAAAAAAAATTCTTATTTACAGTTTAGATGGTTAGTCAGTCAAAAGAAAAGTAGATTTAGACATATACAAAACTTAGGCAAATTTTTCCTTTTGCTGTCATCATTTATATGTATCATCCGTTTACAGCAAGGAAAATTGGTGCATCTGCGTCCTAACACTACTACTATAAAATTAAGCATGTTTGCTGCAGACTTGCCAGATAGGTAGTATGATAAGAGGTCTAAAGAAAAGCTTTAAAATATATTTGTGTACTTGTGAGTCATAGTATTCTTATTTACCTTCAAATAAGCTACACTAAATCTATTGTTATCCCATATTAATTTTTTCTCTCCTTTTTCACCATTGTAACAATTTTCTAAAGATAGATGGATACAATTTAAAATGGTAGAGTAGCCTTGGATCCAGTAATATATCCTAAAAACAAAGAACAGTTTGTATAAAGTTAAATACAACCCTAAGAAAATTGATGGTTTTGCAGTTCAATCACACACAAAGTAATTTCTCTACTGAGATTTTATCTGCTATTGATGGTTGTTATTTGCACAGTACTCATCTAATTTAGCAACCTTTCCTATTATCCTAGCAAATAATCTGTTTGCTGGTTCTTGACACAACTGCATGGTCATCTTCAAGTCTTTTTTTTGTTTTGTTAAGTTTGGGTTTTTTCCTCAAAACTTGTGTTTGATAATCCATACTTGCATGTATCTTACTATATATAATTTATTCAAATTTTAGACTGATGATGGGATTGTGAAAATATGGAGTGAATCAGGAACTCATGGTGACGAGTGGAACAAAGTCGAGTTACACTTGGGGAAGCTAAGAAATTTTGAAATTATCTTTGAAGGCATTCGTACCAGAGATCTGGGAGGAGGAGCAGCAATAGATGACATAGAGTTCCACAACTGCACTACAAGTAAGTTCAAGAGGAAAGGTTCTAGAGGGGCGCTACATGAAATGTAGGAAGTACTTTTTCATTTTTAAATACATTGTAATTTTACTGTTATCATCATAATTTCACTGCTCATAAAATCCGTTATGAATAAATTGTTTCTGGTCTTGTAACTTTAAAACTCTTTTCTGCAGACACGTTTGTGTGGTGTTCTCATACTAAATTATGGCAGATAAATCCAAGAAATTACTAAGGTTTTGTATCCTTTATTTATTTTGTTTTGACTAAAAACTTTCCTTCATTAATGCATTGGTAAGCTATTGAGTCTGTGATGTATATAATAATTTTCTATAAATTGTGTCAGATATATAATATATGCAACCTTTGGCCTCTGTGTTTTATTGTAAAGTCTCTTGCCATAAAAATAAGTGGAGACTACAAATGAACCTTTATCAATATTCTTTTTCCCAGTTCAGTTGAAGTGTCAGCAAAATAAAACTTTTGACTCCTTCACAGAATACTCTATTTAATTAATATCTCTGTAGACATAGGCTAAAATAAGAACAAAGTTTGCCCTTATTAAAAACAACAAAAGCAACAGCAACAACAACAACCAAAAAAATCCCAAAAAATGCCCACCAATAAAACTCAACAAACCACCAAACAGTAATAAAAGAAACCCCTAAACCCAAGATGATAAATACTGATTAGGTAGATCATGGTTTCTCTCAGGAAAGTATGTGGTCTTTATATCTTGTAGGAAACGGTGTGACACAACATAAGTGATTATGTTAAATGAGGTGCTGATCCCACATAATCAGCACTGTATGAGTTTTGTGGTAGTTTTTGAGCAAGCTTTAATCTCCTGCCGTAGACTGGACGTCCATCATCAACTGAAGTATGAAAAATGAGCTTCTGAAGAACACCACTTGATCTAGTTACATCTAAAAAAATGAAGGGTTTGCAATCAGAAATTGTTGTATAATTCTAAGAATGGAAACGTGATACAATTTGGAACCTTCTTCAGAATTGCACTTTAATAAAAATCTAAGGCAGATGTACTCAAAAGCTCTATGGAGCACATGAGCATTACTGAGCCCCTTGTCTTTTTTTAAAGTGTTTCATTGTCCTCATTGCTGTGCATGTGATTGTTCTCCTAAAAACAAAGGTAGATAGGTAAGGATGCCCAGGTAGGAGATGGTAAGTCAATATTTATCATCTTGAATAACAAATTAAATGCTGATCTCTCTTGCCATTTGTTGCCAGTTGTGTTCACATGTATTAATTAATACCAGTGGGGTCTAGTTAAACCACATTTCTGAGATTCAGTTCAGTTTTGGAGCTACAACAAATTAGACACTTCATTTCACAGTCAGATTCATGAAAATATTCAGCAAAAGAAAAGAGTAGTTTATTTTCTTAAGGAAGAAGTAACATCTCTGTTAAGTTCATAAAAATGGTATCAACATATCTTACTATAGTGTAAAAAATATTTCTTCCTATTCTTAAGTCCACATATTATATAACAATCTGAAAAATCACATCATATAATCAAAACTGGAAATATTCTGCAGTTGTCATTGCAAGGAAGGAAATTGTTTCAATAAGGATTTGGAAAGCTGTCAGATTAAGGACCCTCAATCTCTTAAAATGTTAAAATTGCTGAAATTTACATTGGTTTTAGTCTATGACCCTACAAATCTGAATGTCAACAGTGTTTTATAACAAGTCTTGCATTAAAATACCTTTGCAGTGAAACAGTTCAGGAAGTAACTTGGTTTATTACTTTATAGCAACTATTTGTTTTACAGCACTGCTTCAGTAAGAAGATCTGTTGGGAAAGGAGTTGCACCAAGTGCTCCAACTGCTTTCCCATACAGCTTCAGCACAGTCATATTCCTGTGTATTTTGCAGAAAATTATTGTTTACGGAGACAGATGATTCAGAGGAGACTTTTCTCATGGAAGTTTGATATGTACAATTGAAGCTTAATTTGCAATAAAAATTTTTAAAATATTTATTTAAGAAAGTTGGAGACCCAAGATGCTGATCCTTTATAGAGTTTTAAATTTCATGGTCCTTGCTTTTGCACTCTAATAGGATACAGTCTTTATACACTCAGGAATCATTTCCTTACAGCATCTCTGGTAGTGTATACTAGGTACAGCAGGGTTACCATAAATGTTTAGGAGTATGTATCCTGTGGGAATGTGTTTATGTTTGTGCCTTTGCTTTCCAGCAGGATCAGAAGCCTATCGTTTGTTCACTTTTCAGCTGTATCTGTGTGCATCTGTGAACATGCATGTCTCTAAAATAAGCAAAACAAACAAAGCCTAAAAAAACAATCCATTGCCCATCGCACCTCACCTCGTCTCTGCCCCCTGATTTTCTTATCTGTATGAGGACACTCAGCCTCCAACCAATGTTAAAAGGGAATAATTTAGTGCCTTTCACATTAGCTCTGCACTCTGCCTATGATTTTTTGCCTTCTACTCCACAAGTTGATACCTGCTCACTTAATTTTTTCAAGACTTTTGGTATGCTGACCTTCCTGTTGACATGATAACACAAAGGAGTCTGGTCTGACCTTTCTCATTCTTGTTGTTATTGATTCTTTACCTTTGTAGAACAAACAAGCAAAATACATTTTGCCAGTTTCTCAAAAATAACATTTCCCACCTGACCCAAGCCTGGAGCATTCAGGATAGAGAAAGCATGTCATGTACAGATTGTACTTTTTGCAGCACAGAGTTCACAGTTTTATTGTGTCTGTCATAACAAAGCTAAAAGTCAGCAAACACCATCTTACTGTGGCCAAACTCAAAAAGAAGAGCAGCATACAAAGGAGATGGGGAACAGGGATTTCTGATCAACAAAATGGCTTGATTTACAGCACTTATAGTTCTATGTTTGTAGCTGTATGATTGCTGGGCTACACATACAACAAGGGTTCTTCTCTAGGGCAGCTGAATTTGCGTTTCTATTTTCTACTTGGTCTTATTTTGTTAAACTGAGATTTTACATATTATGGTTATTCTGGATGTATTAATTACATAAACAGTAGAATATGACATGCACAGAAAAAATTAGGAGATAGAAAATAATTAGGACTTGAAAACAGGTTTAAAAGAAACAGAATGGAGTTGAAATGAGAATGCCTTAAATTGAATGGAAGAAAATAATCGCATATTTATATATTTATAGCTGCTTCTCAGCAGACAGCATTTAGTGGTGAAAACTAATGTAAAGGCAATTCTGGAGCTTTCAAATATTTTGGGATAGCCTCCTCCTCACAGACTGTCCTTTTGGAAGCTGCTGAAGGGTATTCCTGGAACATGGTTTACAGTCAGCACAATAAAATAATTGCTTCTTTGCAGGAATTATGTACTCCAGTTGAGAGAGTGAAAAGGGAAGAGAGGGGCAGCCCATGTGATATTTTACATGTGAATATTAGATCTGTTTTCTACAGTATGGTAATATTCAATGTTTATACCATTGTTTAAAATTTCTAAATGCTTATTTTATTTTACATGTATGTATTTTACATGTATTTTCCTTCAGCTTGCTTCCATGCAGTGTTTATAAGCTGTATACATCGTATCTGCACTGAGGTGGCTTCTTTGTTCTTCACTTACATAGCTCGCTTTATATGAGGATTTTCAACTGATTACAGAGATTTTTTTCACTATTTCCTTTCAAAAATTAATTTGTCAACAGCATCTTTATCAGTAGTAAGTGACTCTACTATGGTCTGATCTTCTGAGGCCTTTCTTTCGAGGCTATTTTTGTCAGATCTCACTAATTTCTATGGAAGTGAAAGACAAGAAGAAACTGTGGGTTTATTTGAAATAAGAACTCTAGGATATATTGTCAAAAATTGAATGAAACAAAGATATAAAAGAGTTGGTTTTGAGAGAGTAAGAATGTTCTGGTAACAAAAATAGGTTAAATTCCAAATCTGATACATTTTATTTTACAGGTTAAATTAAAAAATATGAAAAATAGTGAAATTACATCACAGCTAGAAAAAAGTTGTTCTTAAATTAGCTGATGTACTTATATTTTTTTTCACTTACTTGTACAATAATTCTTTACACAAATTAATTGACTCTGTGTGATCTGAATGGAGTTTACTGTCATCATTTCATGTGCTTTTTAATAATTGACTGTTAATCTTGGCAATGAGGTTATTTGCAGGCTGGAAACAAAATGTCTACATTTTTGCCTTAATAAAAAGATAAAATATCTCTGATGGTCATGCAGAATAATCCCAAATTATAAATTCATATTTTACACTTATGACATTTAACTTCATAATAATGTGGTGTGCTATCATTAAGGAGCACTTCAATTATTGATCTGCTTTGCCAGCTGACGGCTCACTGTCAAATAATAGTAAATCAAGAGCACAATTTCTCAGGCACGCTGTTAGCAGAAGTCAGATTTTGGGCATCTGTAATGTAAAGAAAAAGTATTTTGTACTCTCAGGTACACAACAGCAAGTATAAACATGGACATGCACATGGCTCAGCCACGTCATACATATTGGTCTTGGCATCCCAGGGCACCACCTGAAAAACTAACAAGGGAATATAAATTAAAATAAGAGAATCATAACTCTGAATTAAAATTTGACAGAAATTTCTAGAACATCTTGCTATTCAGTTGATTTATATAATTTTTCAGTCTGGGAATTCAGTGCCATAGAAATCCAGGAATAAGACAGAACCATTACAGCTCTAGTGATCTTTGTCAGTTTGGAATCAGACTCCACAACCGTCTCTTCTAACGCTGCAATCATATTTAGTTTTTAAAAGAAAGAAAAGTAAAAATTCCAAAGTCTATTAAAAGGAAATTGCTTCATTAAATTGAGCTGAACATAAATTTTCCTTAAAATATAATAAAGCTTGCTTTCCTGGTGGTAAACTTTTTCTTTCCATTTCTCCTCATATATTTGTATTCCTCCTCACATATTTGTGTTCCTTCTTACCTACTGTTTATGGCAAAGACCAAAGGTGAGGTAC